TCAGGTAAATGTATTACAAATGACTGTGGTTTGCTTATAATTTGAAGAACACAGGTTTTTTATTATGATGCAAATTCAATTTATCAGTTTATTCTTTTATGGGTAGTGCTCTTTGTATGTTTTGCTGTTCTTAAGCTTGCAAATTGACATTTTGGACCAAAATAGGGATATTTTTTAACATTCCTTCAACTTTTTTTTAACCACTATTCCTGCTCCATTCTCTCTCTCCTTTCTTTCTAGACTCCAAATACATGTATATTAGAACAGTTGATATTAGCTCACAACCCCCTGAGGTTCTGTTAATTTTTTAACCTTTTATTGTGTGCACTTTAGATTAATAATTCCTGTGAATCTATTTTCATGCTCACTTACACATTTTTCTGCCATCTCTAATCTCTTGTTGAGCCCATCCAGAAATTTTTTATTTCAGCTATTTTGCTTTTCAGCTCTAAAACTTAATTTGTTTCTCTTTTATAGCTTCCATATCCCTGCTGAGTTTCCATATCTGTTCACTCATTAAGACCATTTTTTCTTTTAAGTCCTTGAACATATTTTAATAGCTATTTTAAAGTCCTTGTCTGCTAATTACAACATCTGAATCATCTCATGGTCTCTTTCTATTGACTGCTTTTAAAATATTTAGTATGGCTCACATTCATCTGCTTATTTACATGTCTAATAAATTATTAATTCAGTATTGGACATTATAAATGACATAGTATACAGAGTTGGGAGTATTTGTCTTCCTTTAAAAAGGGGAGAGTTTGTTTTTTTTATCAGACAGTTAATTACTGATGGTTCTTCTTAATCTCATTGAAGCTTGATTTTTAATCTTATTTGGGGCTGATCTACAGTAGCTCTTATAGTGGATCATGGTTACTTCAAAAGTGTAGTCTTTTTTGGTGTCACAGTCAAATTATAAAGGTATTATTGTGATCTTTCCACTCTGGTCTCTCTCTTCTCCCAGTAATATGTGACCTCTAGTATCTTTGTTTTACTCTTAGCTCTGTATCAGCTGCTCTCTGCTTGGCTTCACCAAGTCTTACCATGCACATGTGTCGTCCATCCCTCAACCAAGGTCCTGTGAGTAACACGCATGGACTTCTGGGGCTCCCTTCTTTGTAGCTCTATCTTCTCTGATGTTTTGTCCTCTAATGTTGAGCTGCTTCATCAACTCCAAACTGCAATCTGTGTCTCCTCAGCACAACATGACTTCTTTGTTTATGTTTCTCCTCACCGTACTGCTATCAGGAAATTTTCTCCAGGTTGATATTTAATGCTCATGTGGGTGAATTTAGGGATTACATTTATGTGCTGTCTGTTGTCCACTGTCTAAAAACAATCACTTCATATATTTTGCCCAGTTTTATAGTTATTATTGTGAAAGGGCACTCTGTCAACTCCAGAAACCTAAATCTGGTAGAAATATTCCTTTGAAAGTTATTCCTAAAATCATTGGTTCTCAAATTTTAGAATATATCATATTTGTCTGGAGGACTTGTTAACACACAGCTTGTTAGGCTCCACTCAGAATTTCTGGCTCAGTAGGACTGAGTAGGGCTCTAAGAATTTACATTTCTCACACATGCCCAGGTGATGCTGCTGCTGCTGGTCTAGGACCCACACTTTTAGAATCACTTGTTTAGAAAAATGGATCTTGAGAAAAACATTGGGACTTATTTGGGACTTAGTACACACAATTTTGCTGTGGGTTTTTTTGTTTGTTTGTTTGTTTTTGCTATACGCTGCATAATAAACTTATATTTCAGTTGGTTTATTATAATGCTAGCCATCTTACTCTTTTTATTCAAAGTATGATTTTCTAAAATTTTTGAGTTTTTTTTTAATTTAAAAAGGATAGCTGTTACATGGCCATAAGAAAAGATGAAATACTGCCATTTGCGACAACATGAATGGATCTTGAGATTATCATGCCAAGTGAAATAAATCAGACAGAAAAAGTCAAGAACCATATGACTTCACTCATATGTGGGATATAAAACTGAAAACACTAAACTAACAAGACAAACAAAAACTCGTAGACACAGACTATAGTTTAGTGGTTACCAGAAGGTAAAGTGGGAAGGGGATGGTAGAAGAGGGTAAAGGGGGTCAAATATATGGTGATGGACTGACCCTGGGTGGTGAACACACAATGTGATATATAGATGATGTGTTATAAAAATGCACACTTGAAACTTATGTCATTTTACTAACCAATGTCATCACAGTAAATTTAATAAAAATAATAAAAAAAGAAATGGACAAATTCTCCATTTAATTGATAGTCAGAAACAAAAAAAATTATGAGACTAAGTAGAGTTATAAAATAACAAAATATTATCATTCTTATTTTTGTCTGCACAAATAAATTTGATTTTTTTCATCTAATATGAATCATCTAGACCATGGAATTTGATAAGTTTCAGACATAAGTATTTGGTTTTGGTTTCAGAAATTGGGCTTTATTTTAATTTATTCTCAGATCTGTAGGTATGTATAGATGTGGTGTGTGTGTGTGTGTGTGTGTGTGTGTGTGTGTGTGTTTATTTTGTAGGTAAAATGCAAAACAGTGATAACCAGTAGGGTTGCTAGACCTGGGTCATACCTCTTTTTCAGGTTTCTCAAAGTCTTATACTTTGTCCAATAATAGCTATTAAGGTAGCTATGAATCTACCTATCTCAGTAGCACATTTTGTTTGCTCTTTTTGCCTCCATTGTTCCAATGGCTCCATCTCTCCACCAGGCTTTTAAAATTTCTTGCTTCCTTTTATTCTAATCCATGCATCTCCTATCAGTATAAGGCTTGTACTGATGTCAAGCCTTGGTAACTCTTTTTTTTTTTTTTAAGATTTTTATTGGGGAGCTGGGGGGATGGGAACAGTGCCAGGAAATTGGGGGAAAGGGAACAGACAAGTTGCTGTCGTTTTGTTCTTCAGTCTAGTTCTGGAGGACGTTGCTTCACTGGCCCAAGCTGGCACCATCATTGCGCTCTTCCCGGGCGAGGCAGATCAGTCGCCGGCTTCTGGACGGCCACTCACGGCTGCTGCTGGCCGCTCACGCTGGCCGCTGGCTACACACGGTAGCCCATGGCAACCCACTGCCACAGGGGCTGCAGCCTATGCCATCACCAGTGACTCATGGCTGCCCAGCTCCAGGTATAGCTGTTGTTCAGCATCTTAGCTGTGGAGGGCAGTGTCACTGGCCCTCATGTGTGGGATCCGAACCGGGGCCCTCTGGCGTCCCAAGCCAGTTCTTAACCATCGCGCCACTCGGCCGGCCCAAGCCTTGGCAACTCTTATTGATGATGCTGACATGGTTCTTGCCATGGCTACCAGAACAGGGAATATACTAATAGTGTTTCTTAGTTGGAAAATGGATTGGTCTTATCCCTTCAAATTCCAATCCCTGAGAGATTTTTCTTTATAGATTTCTTTCATTTCTTGGAAAAATTGGTACAATAGCCTTTGGTGGCTAGAATAGAAAGCTATTTGATAGCACATTTTAAATATTGTTTTAACTGTACTGTGTAATTAATAAAATTTTAGTTGTAGTTTGGGAGATCCGTTTTCTAATAGTTTGATACAGGGATAGTGAAACTAATTACTAAATACTAATTATTCAACAGGTTCATTTTGATGGCTGGGAACACAAATATGATTATTGGATGGATGCAGACAGCCCTGACATGCACCCAATTGGGTGGTGTGATGTAACAGGGCACCCACTAGAAATGCCATATCATGAGTATTTTGTCTTTTTTGTTGCTTTTTAAATACTTAACCTGAATTCCTACCTTAATACTGTGTTTCATGTTAATATAAGTATTTGAAAGTTAAATATCAGATAGGTGAATTGATTAATCACCACTACAGCTACACTGAAAGCTAGTTACTCACAATTAAGCCTCAAAGGGCATGCTTCATATAAATGAAATGCTATAATCATTAAGAAATGATTTTGATAGTGTTGTCTATCTAAAGGAATCTTTATTTATTTATATTTTAGTTTGGAAAATGGAGCCAGGCCTAAATCTCTCATGTTGGCCATTGCTTTTAGCTGAAGTATGTGTTTTTTTTTTAAACATTCCACCTTATTGATTTTTTTTATAGAATAGATTACAAAATGTTTTAGAAAAAAACAGAAATATTTTAAGTCTCAGCAATTAAATTTAGTTGTAAAAATTTTATAAAACTCTCTATTTTATTGGTATGTTCATTATTTCTGTATTTCTAGCTACTTAAAGTTAAGGAAGAAATTAAGCACTCTAATTTCTAATGAACCTGGAACCAAAATATCTTATTCTTTTATCTAAAGGATTCCTGTAATCAAAATAGGCCGCCATAACTAATAACTAGTTTTAGACACATGTGCAAGCACTCTCCATTCTTATGTTTGTTTTGCTTGCTCACTGTTTCTGTTGCCCCCTCTTTGGATTCTTGGGATGAAGCTACAAAGTTATTCTATTAATGATGTCTTACATTTAGCCAGCCCAAAGATGCTTGAACCTTAGATGTAAAAGGACCAACTACATCTTTGAAAGAATTCCTTCACTTCTTGTAGAATAGTCCCTGAATTAATAATTTAACAAGCATTTTTACATTTTGCTAGATTCTTCAAAAGCCATACAGCCAATAAGGTACAAGTCCATTAGCAATCATAGGGCCTGTAGACAGAGAATGAAAAAATAGGGAGACCACGGTCAGTACCATGTTGGGAGAAAAGTGTAAGCATTTGTGCTTTGTGGTTTCTTTGATCCTACTTTTAATTCTCCTGGATTTCCCACCCCAGCATGCCAGCCAAATGGTTCTCACTTTGTGTTCACCACGCGCCTCACACCCACATGCACACATCGGCCTGTCATCCCAGTAACTTTCTTAAGTAGGAGTGATATAAACACAGGTAGGGATGGGTCAGCATTTCAGGTACAGGGACAGCTCTCTTCACTCCACCTCACCCATCACCTGTTCCTTTATCAAGCTGCCTACCTGGCTTCTTAACCTGAAGGTTTCATAAGCGTTCTGAAGCCTGTGTATCAAACCTGAACATCATCCCAAGCCAAAAACTTGCTTTTCTACTGTAGTTCCTACTTGCTTCCAAACCTCCTACTTCTTTTTCAGAGTCATGCTGAACTCTGCTCCCTCCTTACCCCTTTCTTACCCCAATACAACCAGTCATTAAGTCTTGCTGATTCTCTTTCTTAATTTCTCCAAAATCCATCTTTGACTCCCACGCCTCCCTCGCAACTCCATTGCACTATTTGTACCCCCATCCTACTTACAAATGATTCACAGATGATGATCTGCAGTCTGCTAGTGAGTTGCACGGATCCTCCCATAGAGCCTAGAATGGATCTAAAAATTCAAGTTCTAGAGGCACTATAGTCTATTTGTTACAAGTGTGAAATGTGGAGCCAGGATGCTTGGATTTGAATGCCAGTTTTACTGCTTGCTTACTACGTGCCTATCTCCTCATCTATAAAATGGAGATAATAATATATCTATCTCATAAATTTATAATGATGAAATGAGATAACATATGCATAACACTTTAAAAACTGCCTGACCCATATTATGTGCTCAATTAATGTTAGCTGCTATCAGGAAATTATATAATATTCTATCATTTTCATTTTTATATAAAACTGAATTATTAAGGATTACAAAATTTGAAATTGTGTTAAAATTAACATGTGACTAGAGCTTTCTAAATATTTTAATTCAACTTTTTCTTAAGGTTTTTGTTTTGGTTTTTTTTGTTAAGCTGAGCCATCCTGCCACCTGTTGGCAGCTCAGCAGCTGCTCAGCTCGGGCTGGGAATCGAACCACTGTTGCTCAGATTTCAACTCTTGAGCGAGCTTTTAACCAATTGAGCCACTCAGCCAGCCCTCTTTCTTAAGTTTTTTGTGTTGGCAATATTATAAGATTCCTGTTTTGTGTGCTCACACTCAGGTAATTGGAATCCCTATGATTTGGGGGGAAGATAACTTGGAATTGGCTGTCTTCAGTTTGTCATGATATTCTATTACTGCTGTGCTTGCTTTTTTGTTATAAATTTATTTGAATTAATCATTATTAATATTGTTTATTATAAGTTTATTGTAAACCCTATGGTTTATAATTATTCATATGAACATCACTTGTCTTATTAATTTTTAAATACCTAGATTTTAAGACATGTTTATAGTATGGTTCAATATATATCATCTACCCCCCTATTGTTAAAGCAAAAATACATAACCCCCCCCCCACACACACACACACACACACATCTCTACTCCAGAATTTATTCTGTTATTTATTTATTTGTCATTGAATTATTTCCCCACTGGAAAGCAGAAACAAATGGCTGGTTTAGGAACTACAAAAAACAAAGTTTGAGATTCTGGAATTGACTGTTGTAACAGCTTCATGACTTTCTTTTCTCTTATTTCTTCCCTGTAATAGCCTGTATAAAACCCAAATGTTACCTTATTTTTTCCATGATGATAATATTCAATAATTTATAATATTCAACCACTAAGGCCTAATAGAAGTTCTTGAGAAGATATAATAACTGTGAAGGCTTCTTGAGTGTGAAAACTTGAATGTTCTCATTCAACTTGGAAGAGTGCCAATTTGTATGGTTAGGTGATGACAATTTCCTCTTAGCTGTCATTCCCAGTCACAGATGCTCACCTGTAGGTCGCCCTGCATCCCATTGCCAGGTTAAACTTTCCTTTTCTCATGCCATGAGGGCACAATTTGTCTGTTTTATCTAATGTAGAGTCCTTCATGGTGGACTTTTTCTACACTTAGAAACAAAATTAAATACTTAAGATTTAGCACTATTAAATTGTCAAGATCTTTCGATAATGCTTTGCATTCTATGAATGTCCTTTAAAAGATATAAAAATATCAGAACTAAAAAACCGTGACTAAATTGGTCATCTACTTGATTCTCTTTTGGCAATCTTTTTAGTCATATCATTTGGAAACTGTAATCCTAGTCATGTTTGCAGTTAAATTTCTTTAAATAGAGCTCATTTCTCTTCCTATATTGTTAATTATCTACCCAGAGATTACCTACTCCATTGGGCAATGAGATGTCTGATACCTCTTGCTTTGGAAATTAACCAAGCTTGAGAAAAAGATGGATTTTGGAGTTAGAAAAACTTGGATTTAAATTTCCATTCTGCTCTGACTGACTGTGCCTTTGGGCAAGTTACTTGACCTCTGGGACTTGCAGGCTTGTGAGATTAAATACCTTACTTGCTATTTGCATTTGTCTGGTATACAGTGGCCCTTCAGTAAATAGCAGGACTGTGTGAAGAGCATAGGCCATTTGCTTCCCATGCCACCGTTTCTCTTCGTTGATCCAGAAAATTGGCAGTTGACTTTATTTCCTAAAACTTAACACAACCAGTGTGGTATTTTCCTAGGTACTTGTTACAATTACACTATTCATAAAGGGGTTGCAGATCACTGAGTGAATACTGAATATTATTTAGGACAGTTCAAAACATTTAGAATTACTGACTTAGGCTTAAAATAAGCCCCTTTGAATTGAGAACTAAAGAACTAAGTTGGACTTTTTTGTTTTTTGGGTTTTTTTTAGCTGAGCCATCCTGCCACCTGTTGGCAGCTCAGTGGCAGCTCAGCTCAGGGTGGGAATCGAACTGGCAACCCTGTTGCTCAGAGCTTGCACTCTTGAACAAGCTCTTAACCAACTGAGCCACTCGGCCACCGAAGAACCCTAAGTTGTACTTTTAAAAAATTCTGAACACATCATTGCAATTCTGCACCCCTTTCCAATGTGTGGAGTTTTTCCTCACATCAAGCAATTCTCCTACACCAACTGGATGCCCTACAATTCAGCTCCGTTTTGTCATTATCTACCTAGAGATAGCATCAGATTCCACAGGTGAAGGGCTGAGAGCCACATCACTGCCCCTACTTCAGATGCCAATCACAATTACAAGTTCTTATCTTTGCTTCTGAAAAACTGGCTGTAAATCAGAGGTTTCTACAACTCCCCCTTTGGGTTCAATTAACTTGCTAGAGCAGCTCACAGAACTCAGGAAACCAGTTATGAAGAGACATGTGGGGTGACATCCTGAACAAAGGATCTTCTGTCCTTGTGGAGTTTGGAACCCAGCACAGTGGGATGTGGATACATTTTGATTCACTCACCCAGAAGCTCTCCAGACCCAGTCCTTCTGAGTTTTTCTGTAGATTTTGTTACATAGGCATGACTGATTAAATCATTGTCCACTGGCGATTGAACTCAATCTCAAACTTCTCTCCCCTCTCCACAGGTCAAGGGGTGGTTCCAACCACCACTAGGTTGGAAAGTTCCAACCCTGTAATCGTATGGTTGGCTCCACAGGCAACCAGTCCTCTTCTTAGGTGCTTTCCAAAAGTAGTCATCTCATTAACAAAAGAAAAGACGCCTTTATTGCTGTCTTCACAGGCAATTCCAAGGATTTTAAGAGCTCTGTGCCTGAATGGGGATGAAAACCAAATATATATTTCTTATTATAAATCATAATATCACAATCATAAATATACCACCAATGAAATAAAATTATTTTTACTGAGTTGTTCAGTAGCTTTCTCGTTGTCAAATCAAATGGATATACATAACCAGTTCTCATAGGAGCCTTCTCTATTAAGCACAATTTACTATACTTTTCCTCAGGTCTCCTGCCTCTCTTCTTAGTCTACATGAGTACTCCTCTGCTTCTGGGTAGGGTGTGTATTCCTTATGCCTAGTTCTAATCCTTTTGGCATTTGGGCCAAGATGAAGTCCTTTGCAGTCAAGAGCCATCTCCTCTTCAAACCTTGGTCTGATGTCCTCCAGGAGATGAATCTTCTCTTCATCCTCATCATCCTGCAGTATTTTGTCCTCTCTCCTATTTTGTTAGAGTTATGTTTATGTTTCTTGCCACTCTAATGCCCAGAACACTTCACTGGCTTCCTTTCTCACAGAAAGTTTGTTCCAAAGTATTTACTGTCACCTGGAGGTCCCCTGAAATCTGGCCCCTGAAAGCTCTGAGTAGGGTTTTTCTTTCTTCCCTCTGTCCTTAGTCACTCTGAATCAGTTGGCAGCACTGGTCTTGTGCAGCCTCCAGCATCCCAGCATGATTCGCTTCTGTCTCTGCTGTTGCCTTGGCTTGAAACTTTGTGCCACCATGTGTGCTTGAGGCTTGTTCAGTGGTACCCTCCCAGAGATGCCTTCTCTGTCCAAACTGTCCACAGACAACAACTGTGCCATCCTTTAGCCCATGAGCCGCCTTTGTGTTTCTTAATGCAAGTCCTGACAGGCTGGCATGATATAATAAGCTTATTTGTTTCTGTTCTCATCCTACCTCCCTTACTAGAATACCTCTCCTATGGTGGCAGGGACTTCATCTTGCTGTTGGCCATCGATTGCTTGTTTTATGCCAACTGCACAGAACAATGCAGGCTGGGGACTCAAGAGAGAGTCGAATGAATGAATGAATGAATGAATGAATGAAGGGATGACTCTCCCTTTACACCATGAGATCCCTTGGAGCAGGGTCTTTATGGTATTCACCTTTGCTCCATGGCGTGTTTGAAGCTCTTGGAGGTGGTAAATGCATATCAGAAAATGCTTGTAGAAAGATCCAGGATGGAATGTGCCAACATGCCAAACCTACTGTGGCCACGTCCTCTCCTCAATGCCCACTCTCCACACTCCTTCCTCCCGTGGGCTGGGATGGCTCAGCCTATGGCCTCCGTGCAGACTGGGCCTGCAGGGGATATTTTTCCAATTAGTTTGTTGTTTTCCTAACTTCCTATGCTTTATAAATGTAATTTGTCTATATTTATTTCGCCCTACCTGTTCCTTCAGGCTTAAACACTCTTTCAGAAATGAGAGTTAAGCAGGATAAAATAGTCAACTGCATAGACATGTTTTAATGTTTTAAGGTAGGAATAGAAATAATAAAATAAAAATATGGCAGGTCCCAATGCCTGTAATAAGGGAGGTATAGCTGGAGGTTAAAAAAAAAAGCAGATTTTTTGTCACGACGAGGCAGTAGGCAACTGCTGTACTCGCATCCTCTCACGATCACATCAAAATTACAATTAAAGTACAGAACAGCCATCACTGAGAACTACCTGATGTCTAGCAGAACGGAAGTTTCACAACTAAGGACGTATAGAAGAAGCCACATCAAGACTGGTAAGAGGGGTGGAGATGCGGAATGGGCTGCTCCCACACCCGCATGTGGAAGGAGGGTTATCTCAGCTATGAAGGTCTCCCGTGAGGATCGAGGGGTCCCAGACACACACCAGGCTTCCCAGGCTAGGGTACCAGTGCCAGGAAAAGAAGTCCTGACAACTTCTGGCTGTGAAATCCTGCAGAGATGGTGGCAGAGTGAGAAGCAGGGCCGCTGGAGTCCCAGGCATTCCTCTTAAAGAGCCCGCACAAGGACTTTCTAACTAAGAGCCTCACTTGCTCTGAGAATCCAGTGCTGGAGCAGCAGCACAACAGATGCCAGGGACATACAGGAGGAGCTGAATCGATTGGCTCAGAGTGAGGGCTGGAGGGGCAGCTTTCCCCCAGGCAGAAGTGTTGGCAGAAGCTATTGTTCCTGTGGTGAATGCTCCCCTCACCCAGCCTGCACTCACAGGCAGGCACCATATCTGAGTCTCCATCAACCTGGGTAACATCATTTGCCCCTCCCTGGTGATTTCCTGAGACCCCCACTTCACCCAACTTGTCAGCCCACCCAAACCACTTCTAGGGGCCTTTCCATACAAACAGCCTGACTTGTTTCATGCTGCAGACTTTCCTAAAATCTCTCAAAGATTCACAAACCCTAAACAAGCAGTATCTGGCCTGGGCATGCCCTATACCCCTTGCTAGGCAGCCCCAAGCCTGGCACTAGCAGCAGCCAGCCTCGGCTTACAGCTTAACTTCTCCCAGGCTCCTCCAAGCCCAGCACAAGAGGCACCATCTGCAGATCACCCTGTAGCTCATACCAATGGCTTCAGGCTGGGCCCAGGCAGCAGCTGATGTTGTCCTGCAACAGAGCCACTCCCAAGAGGTCCTAGAACCAACACACCTGGTAGTCAGCTTCTCACCAGAGCACCACCCAACTACCTCCACAAAAAGATACACCCAAAGGGCAGATTGGGCAGACATCAAAGCCTTGCTAAAGCAAACCCTACTCTGTTGGGTCAGCCCCTTGCACAATAGCTCCTCCACTGTAGTCATGGCCAGTCCTTAAAACAAATCAACCTGAGAGTCAGTTCCTCTTATTGACATGTAAACAACAACTAAGACTCAACAGGAGGGCGCACACAAGGGACACACCTGGATACTGGATTCAGATGACCATGGAGACTGCATCACTGGGCCCCATAGAACACCTACTACATAAGGCCACTCCTCTAATACCAGGAGACACAGCAGCTCTACCTAATACATAGAAATAAACTCAGGGAGGCAGCAAAATCAGGAGACAAAGAAACATGTCCCAAATGAAAGAACAGAATAAGGCTCCAGAAAAATTACTAAACAAA